GAGGTGTATAGTAACTAAGTACATTTACTTTGTTACAGTACTTAAGTATTTTTGATTTTACCAATTATTTTTAAATAGCTACTTTTACTTTTATTTTGTTACATTTAAAGCTAAAAATTATACTTTTACTTCTTTACTTTAAAACCTTTACTTTAAAATATAGCACCTAGTTACTCATTACAAATTAAATATGTTTGAACTCATTGCACTCACACAGTGTTAACAGTGTTAGCAGTGTTAACAGTGTTCATAGCATTAGCAGAGTTAGCAGCATTAGCAGTGTTAGCAGATTTAGCAGTGTTAACATAGTTTACAAAGTAAACAGCAATATAAACAGTGTTCATAGTGTAAACAATCTTAGTAGTGTTAACAGTAGTGTTCATAGCATTAGCAATGTTAGCAGAGTTAACATTAACAGTGTTCACAGCGTTAGCAGAGTTCACATAGTTTACAAAGTTAACAGTGTTGACAGAGTTGGCAGTGTAAACATTATTCAGTGTTAACAGCGTTAGCATTGTTAACTGTGTTCATAGCATTAGTAGAGTTAGCAGAGGTAATAGCATTAACAGTGTTCACAGCATTAAAAGTGTTAGCAGTGTAAACATGGTTTACAAAGTTAACAGCATTAGTAGAGTTAGCAGTGTTAACAGCTTTAGCAGCTTCAGCATTTTGTTTTGTCACAGGATGATGACATAAAATCTGAGCACCAACAACAAAGGCTGTGTTCCATTTTGAAATACTTGAATGTGAGATTTATCCTTTAGCCACAACATTTAACATTCAGCGTTCACATTTAGATTTATTATTAGCACATATTATTTAAGAGCATTTTAACGGCACAGATCAGAATCTGGTGACAGATCCAGTTTTCTTCTTTCCTCTGAGATTTTAAAGCGGCAGCACAGAGGCCTCGGCTAACCTGTGATTCTCTGCCTGGAGGTGTCCAGACTTGTACGAGGAGCTGAAACATGCTACAGTTTTCTAAAGTTCCCTCTGATCCCCGTCAGGCTGGTCTCTAACCCTCCATAATAACAGGACCAGAAAAAAAAAAAAAACTAAATGACATCAAACCTCAGCTGGGATCATCAGATGTTGGCTGGCAGGATTTAAAACCGTATGAAACCAAAAACTACACAGGTCTGACCCCAAAACCAGGACTGAGGACAGGTCCAAGAGACAGAAACTGGAAGCTTCTGTCTGCTGGGAGGGACAGGTTGGACTAAGAACTGAAGGAGACCCTGACTCACCAGAGACTCTGAGAGAAACTGAACTACAGGGTGTCCACAGCGAGTCCTCCTTCATCTCTGTCCTCACTCAGTCCTCTGTGTCCTCATTCAGTTCTCTCTCCAAGTACCTTCATGTCCTCAAAACAACCTTCTACCAATATACCCACTGTCCCTCCTCTGGACATGTCCAAACCAATATACCTACTGTCCTTCCTCTGGACATGTCCAAACCAATATACCTACTGTCCTTCCTCTGGACATGTCCAAACCAATATACCTACTGTCCCTCCTCTGGACATGTCCAAACCAATATACCCACTGTCCCTCCTCTGGACATGTCCACACCAATATACCTACTGTCCCTCCTCTAGACATGTCCAAACCAATATACCTACTGTCCCTGCTCTGGACATGTCCAAACCAATATACCCACTGTCCATACCCACTGTCCTCCTCTGGACATGTCCAAACCAATATACCTACTGTCCCTCCTCTGGACATGTCCAAACCAATATACCCACTGTCCCTCCTCTGGACATGTCCAAACCAATATACCTACTGTCCCTCCTCTGGACATGTCCAAACCAATATACCCACTGTCCCTCCTCTGGACATGTCCAAACCAATATACC